GGGGTGGAGTGGAGACGTACATCGACTTCTTGCGGGATTTTAAACAAAGTATTCCTTCCTGCTTTAAGCCTGCAGGCTGTCAGTAGAAACTACAATATATTTTCTGTCGGTAGTGGTATAAATTCAATTCCCCGCGCTTGCGCGGGATTTCTTCTAGTCACTATAAAATAGAGGTGATGATGTAAAGATTATGTTATCAAAGGAAAACAATGTAGTTAATTTTTTAAATTCAAAACAACCCTTCCACTTTGAAGACAGTTACAGATCTTTAGTGATTATATTATCCATGAGAAAGGGATATAGAGCAGACAGACGTGTGTGTAATGCATGTTGTCTACAGAAACGTAACGAATGCAGCAACAGATCGAAGTTAGGTGTCAGTAGAATTTATATCTGTGGAGTTATAAACACATGATGTACGTTATTTATTTATTTGATTAATTGATTGATTAATGTTTTACGCCCAATCGGCACTATTTCAGCCCTATATCGGCGATGAAAAGATATATCATGTAGCCAGTTTTGAAAGTTTTGGGTTTTCACTGGCGGCCCCCAGTGAGCCTACTCTTTCGAAAACCAGAAAACCGATCTTTTACGTGCTATTAATTTGATGCAGAGTAACAGATATCACGCAATTGTCAAAGAATTAAGATATATTTTAACCCTGGACGGTGGCACTATCTTCGATCTTTAACGACCGCGATTTTTGCAAAATTATTATGTTCAAACAATCATAACCAAACTTCTCGAACTTGGATTTTCGTAACAAATATTTTGGTATACAGTAAGTATATGTAAAAGGTAAAGATGATGAACAGTGATCGATCTCAAAAATCCACAAACAATACAAATATGTGAAGAGGGCATAAAACAAGGACCCTTGGAAATTCCAAAGGTGGGATCAGGTGCCTAGGAGGAGTAAGTATCCCATGTTGACCGGACACACCCGCCGTGTGTCCTATGTATTGATCAAGTAGACGGAACTATCCGTAGTCAATTCAGTACAAAAACAAAGACTTAACAATTGGTATGAAACAAGTCAGCAAAATTACCACCCAATGATAGGCTATATTTGCTAACAAGGTCATTATAACAATTATAACGACCATAAAATTTACGAAATGCTGACGTTAAACGAGGCTATTGAAATCCCTTTAACATCAACTTATCAGTGAGTAGCCTGCCTCGCTTTAAAAATTGATCGTACTCAGAGGAGAGGACCATTCATTTTGATAAAAACGTCATTGTCCACGAACTTTATGGACAACCCTCGTAGGTATCAATCAATATTTTTAGAACAAATTTTACACATTTACTGAACAGGCTTTGTCAAGAAACGAAGATATATTGAAGAAGTCAAGATATACTGGTTTTTGCCTGAAAATTGCATATTTTGATCAATATCTCAGAATATACATCACTGGCCCAAACCTTTTCTTTCATTTTTTATAAAGTACACTATACTTCCAACCGATCATCACTAAAATCATAAAAAGTTTGATATACAAGAAAATATTTTATTGCCTTTTTCGATTTTTAATACCCAAGTGTCGCCCGCGTGTTGCAGTGGTTAGAGCGTCTGCTCTAGAGTCGCGAAGTAAGGAGTTGATCCTTACGTCGCGGGTTCGAATCCCACTGTGGGGCGTGGAGACCGGTCCTTCGGATGAGACCGTATAAACCGAGGTACCGTGTCGCAGTAGGTGCTGGCACGAAAAAGATCCCTCGCTGCTCAAAGGCTGTAAGTGCCGAGTATAGGACAAAATTTGCAGCTCTCCACCGGCAAGTGGTGGCGTCTCCATATGAGTGAAAAATTCTCGAGAGGGACGTTAAACAACAAAAAAAAAAAAAAAATACCCCAAGTATTTTTGTTAGTGCAAAAAGGTCACATAATTTATGCGCATTAATTTGCATGATTTGTTCAATGATAAATATTATTCAAACTATTTTATGTAAGATTTTATTCATTGCTATGATTATATCTGGTAAAATATGACGAAGAGTAAAGTGATTAATCTAAAACTTACATTTAAGTGCAAAAAGGTCATGTTAATTTTACCGTTGCTCAGTAAGATGCACACTGACCACCAGTTTTCTTTGCGATTTTGAGTCATGATATATGAGTACTTAGCCAAAATATACTTCTCAAAAAAATCCTTGATATAACTATTATCGTTTTACTAACAGCGTGACAGTAAAATTTTGTATGCTGATTATCATATTGCTCATCAATTGGATGTTTTATTTCAATGAAATCAATAATACTTTGCATATGTAACACAGAACCCAGCAATACCACTGACAATACTGACCATTCATTAAATTATATGTATACGTATTTAAAACTCCATCATATTTTGACTCCGTCAAATTACAGCAAATTTAAATTACAGCAAGTATGACTCATGCTTTTTTGAGGACAGAAAACGAGCTTTGACAGACCACGTGTTGCTGCTGACTACAAATGACGTACTGGTAAACAATCATTCAATGTGAATGACCAGTATTATCAGGGTATTGTATTCTGAGTTTCATATGCAGAGTATCATTGATTCCATTGAAATCAAACATCCAATCGATGAATAATATGATAATCAGCATACAAAATTTTAGCACACTTCATCAAGCAAACTGTCACGCTGTTAGTAAAAGGATAATAATTAATGTCACGAGTGACATATCGTAATATCAGACTGGGTCGTGCGGACTGCATAAACAATCAATTTACATCTATATCTTTCGTAAAATTGTGTATATTGTTTTAATTTTTATACATTTACTAAATCATGGTATTTATCAAAATAATATTGTACATACTTGGCAGTGTTGTCATCATTAAGAAAATTATAGCATTTATCTACGAACAATCCCAAGGATTCCTAGGAACGACTCATATTTTTTTAACATTTATTCTGATAGTTAATGATAGATCAAAATCTCTAAATATTTTACCGACCACAAGGACTGGACTCTACTTTCCATGTTGTTGCATATAAATATTTTTAAGTTAGTTCTAATGTGTTCAATGATTAAGAGAGAGAGAAGAAAACGTGAGAGAAATTCCCGGCAAAAAATCCAGTATCTCAATATTATACAATATGTATACTAATTAGTATATTATATGCTCCTCAGTAGGTATTCGTTCGACGGAATTTCAAATGATCCACACACAGCTGTATATGCTCAGTGTGTGCAATTGCCCTACCAGGTGCGCAAAAATGCCAATAATTAACAATTAATCAATACAGTTTTACTTGATTTTTATAATCAGAAATTACACGAAGATTATCACTTTAAAATAGAGGTGATGATGTAAAGATTATGTTATCAAAGGAAAACAATGTGGTTAATTTTTTAAATTCAAAACAACCCTTCCACTTTGAAGACAGTTACAGATCTTTAGTGATTATATAACCCATGAGAAAAGGATATGGAGTACATAGACGTGTGTGTAATGCATGTTGTCTACAGAAACGTAACGAATGCAGCAACAGATGGAAGCAAATTGTTAGGTGTCAGTAGTATTCATATCTGTGGAGTTATAAACACATGGTGTACGTATTAATTTGATGCAGAGTAACACATGCATGCTTTTGTCAAAGAGTTAAGACATATATAACAGATATTAGATCAATATCTAGGAAGCAGTCATTGAAATAAATGTATAGAATGTATAGATGCAAAGATTCTATGACGTCTAAATGATCTATAGATCTTCATTGATTTTATAGATGCTTGTAATTGTCAGAGGTATCTCTGCATTGAAACTCTATCGGATATAGAGATTGAAACCTTGCTGAAATTCTTGTGATCTAAATATATAGATAATTGAATAATTGGGCACTCATTAGAATAATATTCCCTACTTTTCATGCCCCCAGCGAGTAGCTATTTCTAATTGATTCATAAAACGATGGTTCTAAATGCTCGGTAGATATTTTGTGTAATATCGCTGTATATCATGGGGATTTAAAATATCAGTGATGATGCATGTTTTAAACAGACAGACATTTTATTGAAGGAAACTCAAGCATTTTTTGGAGGAACTCATGTTTAACATTTCACAACTTTTCTTTCCTGTGGGTGCACAACATTGGCTTATTTGAAACATCTTTACACCCTTTCAAGGTATGTTTCATGTGCGAGTATTAACTGCATTCTGTTTTATATATATATATATATATATATATATATATATATATATATATATATATATATATATATATATATATATATATATATATATATATATATATATATATATATATATATATATATATATATATATATGTGTGTGTGTGTGTGTCTGTGTGTTAGGGTGTTTATGGTTTATGTGTATGCGTATGATTATTAGATTTGGTATTTTTATTATATTTATTTGTTTGAAGGAAAGAATTCAAAGATACTTAGATAAACTTCTAAACTTGTTTGTCTATCAATGTGACATAAATTCATTTTGTATTCAAAATATTTTGATGCAAGACCACCAGAGGCGTATGTTTTTTTTGTAAATAACTAGAAATGAAAACCCATGCAGAAAACAAATACCATGAGTTTAATGTTAAACATGATCATGCATAAAAAATGTTATAAACAACATAAAAAACGTGAGAGAAGATAATTAATTAGAGCTATATATCCCAAGAAGATTTATACATTTACATTCTAAGCACATTTAATTAATAAATTGTCCTTTGTTTAGTTTTGGTAGATTCGTAACACAACCCACTTATAACTACCCACTATCTTGCTTGCCAAAAAAATGTAAACAATTAAAATAACAAGTTTCAGTTCCTCACTGGGTTTATTGAACTCTTCATTGAAAAATACCGAGTTTCGAAGTAGATTTTGGTATTTCCGTACCAAATCCTCTAGTTTTGCCGCAAGTGTCTTTCCGGAGCTGTTTGCTCTTGTGCGTGATATCATAATTCTGAATATGAATTAATGATTTTGTGTTTTTAACTATCTTTTTCTTTTTTTTTTTTAATTTTGTAGATCTAATTATGGACAATATTACCCAGATATACTCCAATACTTCTTCAATACGATTTTCAAGCTTAGAAGAGGTCAATAGGTCAATAGCCGTATTACGTCTTCCGACGGTGATCTTTTTGATAATTTTGATAATCGTTGGACTAATTGGAAACACAGTTGTACTTGTCATATATTCCCAGAAGTATCCACCCTCAACATTCCGATTGTACATTCTGACTTTAGCGGTGCTTGACTTTGCTGTCTTGCTTGATTCCAATGCCATTGGAAATCGCCGACAATGTATACCCGGTGATGTTTTACAGCGAGCCAATCTGTAAATATGGCCGTTTTTTAGGTAGTGTCCTTAAGATTGGATCTGCATTTGTTCTTGTTGTAATAGCAGCGAGCAGGTATAAAAGGATATGTCATCCATTATCCAAGGCCACCAGCTTATTGCAGGCTCGTATTTGCTGTGCATTAGCGATAGTTCTTGCTATTGCATTTTCGTGGCCAAATGCAATCTTTCAAGGGATAAAACGTGTGTATTTTCCAGGGAATATTACTGGTTTTGATTGTTCTATTGATGACGCGGCTATAAACACCAAATATCCCTTTATCTATTCTGTTATACTTTTTGTTGTGTATGTAACGGTGTTTTTGTTATTAACTTCCTTGTACTCTCTTGTCATCGTGTCCCTCCGAAAACAAGCGAAAAAACAAAGAACTAAAAATCTCGGTGAAAGACTTGAGAAAACAAACCCAAGAATTACGAAACTTATGATTGCAATCACAGCGGCGTTTATATTGTGCTATTTACCAGACTGTGTAATGGATGCTGTGTCTGCCTTCAAGAGAGGACCCATTTTCCCACCAAGTAGCTTTATCTTGGGGACACTTCCTCTTTTAGACAGAGCATTTTTCATCAACAATGTCATCAACCCTTTCATATATTTGATCGGAGAATCGGAATTCCGAGATATCGTAAAACAGTCATTCAGATGGATTTTCTACACCATCTGTTGTCGTCCTCAAAAACGAATGAAGAGCTTCGCCATGGAAGAGTAATTTGCTTAACGGAAATATAATCTAACCACGACTTAAATGTTGATATTGATGTATATATGAAGTCATTGTGTTGCCCTAAATCATTTGTTTTGCAGAAGGATATTGAGTGTGATGGTGCAAATGGTTATCTTTATTTATATGAATGATTTACTTGCTTTTATACTTATACGACTAAACAACCTGTGCACAGAAGGTTTGGAGATGTCAATCAATTGATGAAATACTCCTTAAGTCATTTTTTTTTTTTAGCAATTTTAGAAAAAGTTCATTTATGAATCTACGTTGAGTTTTGATGTGTATGCCCCCGTAATCAAAGATTCGAGGGCATATAGTTTTCGGTCTGTCCGTCTGTCTGTCTGTTAATCAGTCTGTTAGTCCGCAAAAACTTTAATCTTGGGCATAATTTTTGAATGGTTGGTGCTAGGGCTTTAATATTTATATGTGTATGCCTTTTGACAAGACCTTTCTTTGGAAACAAATATATTTGAGCTTTTGGCCTTGACCTTTGAGTTTGACTTTCTTTTGCAAAAACTAACCAAACTTTAACCTTGATCATAACTTTTGAACGAAAACCTAGGGCTTTTATATTTCACATGTATATTTCTTGTGATAAAACCTTTCCCTAGGTACAAATATATTTGACCTTGACAGTGGAGTTTGACGTACTAACCTTGGCTATAACTTTTGAAAAGTGGGTGATATGACTTTCATATATCACATATGTATTCCTTGTGAAAAGATATTCTTTTGATATTAACATTTTTGACCTCATGACCTTGGAGTCTGACCTACATTTGAAAAAAACTTAACCTTGATTAAAGTTTTTGAACGGGTGCTCACGGCTTTCGTATTTTACTCATGCATTCCTTGTGACAAGACCTTTACATTGGTACCATTATTTTATTACGTCATGCCATTAACCTTCGAATATGACACTATAACCTTGGCCATATTTTCTTAATGGGCAGTAAAAGGCTATTATTTTTTCACGTGATAGTGGTTCATGTTTCATACTATTTGTAAGGCCATTATTCAAAATCACTCATTCTACACTCAAGTTCACCGAAGTTGATATGAAAAGTTGGTTGGAGTTCCTCAATGACATCTTTTATGTAGTCTTTGGAGACCAGGTCTTCCAACAATCTGTTGGAATTCTCCAATAGGTACTAATTGTGTTCCTTTATTAACCGACCTGTTTTTATATTCCTGTGAAGCAGAATATATTCGAAAACTTCTACATGAAAAGAAGAAAACACTCGCAAAAGGCTATTATTTTTTCACGTGATAATGGTTCATGTTTCATACTATTTGTAAGGCCATTATTCAAAATCACTCATTCTACACTCAAGTTCACCGAAGTTGATATGAAAAGTTGGTTGGAGTTCCTCAATGACATCTTTTATGTAGTCTTTGGAGACCAGGTCTTCCAACAATCTGTTGGAATTCTCCAATAGGTACTAATTGTGTTCCTTTATTAACCGACCTGTTTTTATATTCCTGTGAAGCAGAATGTATTCGAAAACTTCTACATGAAAAGAAGAAAACACTCGCAGTGACCTTCAACTCGACATTCAGATATATCGATAACGCATATTGTTATCAATTTACAATAGTTACTTCCATTCATATGTCGATTCGATATATCTCAGTGAAATCGAAATAAAGACACTACAGAGTCTGCCACATCTTTTTCATATTTGGATGTTTTACCGACTAAAGACGATAAGGGCCAATTATATAACAACAACACTGTTTGACAAACGAGATGACTTCAATTTTTCCATCGTAAACTTTCCTTATTTATGTAATATTTTGTTATCACCTGCATATGGGATTTACGTCTCCAAGCTTAATTGATACTCAAGAACATACTCTGAGTACAATCAATTTTTAAAACGAGGCAAGCTACTGAGAGATAAGTTGATGCTAAAGGTATTTCAACAACCTCGTTTAAAGTCAGCAGTCGTAAACTCTATGGTCGTTATAATGTTCTTGTTGACAAATATATACTATCAAAAGTGAATAATATAAATAAATTTTGTAGTCTTGATTAATTGTACTAAGTTATGGCGTCACTGTAAAATATATTATATAATAAATTTTGTTTAAGGAATTGTTTGTGGACATACATTTAATTTAAAGAAAAAAGTACTTTCTCGGGAAATAATAACTTTGGACAATAACATATTATCAGTGTCTTGAACGTGAGTAACATCACATACAGCTTATTTTGTACTCCACATATCATGTGCTGATCCAGATATTTTAAAGGGGGGGGGCACAAGCACTGGGCTTTGACATATAACTACTGATTTTAAAACTTTAATTCATAAACATGTTACACCTAAGAAAATAACGACTGAACAATTACATCCTTGTTGGAATAGCCGGGAAAAGTGTGATGTAAATTAGTCAGGATTGCTATGTGGGATCTGAGGCCACCTGCTTGAGGTTTCCACTGGGTGCAGGGAAATTTTTAATTTGAAGCCTTCTGGGGGTCCAGGAAGCTTTTTTCATTCTTGGATTTTGAAAGACAGACTTTTTAATATAAACGTATAAACATTATTGCATCGATGTATTTTAATAAAGAATTTGTAACTACATCATGACCATGATTAAAATACAATTTAAATTATCGAGGTAATAACATGAAACTTTTAATTCAATATAAATGTACATGTATATATACAAGAATTCATGTTCATCCAAGAAATTGGTTTAATTTTAAAATATGCTAAACATAATTCAGAATTTTTGCACGTACTTCTAAGTGTTATCTATATCAAGTATTTTATCTTTTAAAAATGGAGAGGGAATCTTTCTTAATTGTTTACTTTCATTAAATTTTGAGATTTTAAAATCGCTCAATAAAGTCAGCTTAGCAATGTACTTTTGGATTTTTCAAATCAAATTTTGCAAATTTTAATTCCTCATTCTGACTTTTTTTTCAAAATTATTTTCTTTTTTCATATCCGATTTATTTACAAAAAAAAGGAAATAAAAAAAAAATAAAAAAAAAATAAAAAAATAAAAAAATCATTAGTTTCTATTTTAGCTTAACCGTCGAGAGAAATCAAAAGTTTTGAATGTCTTCATTGTGCTGAAGAAGATAAATCAAATATGAAGTTTTATTATTGTCTGTTGCGTCTTAAATTCCAATAACATGTATACAATCACAACTCTCTCACTCTCTCTCTCTCTTTTTTTACCCTTTCTTATGTTTTTTTCGTGTCAATCCTCATTTATTATTTTTCATTTCTTCCAAAATCAAAGGGAGGGGGTTGCATTTCCCGTTACCCATCTGAATCCGCCATTGCATATGATGTAAAGATACACATATTTAAAGCTATATATATGGCGTATCTGAACTAAAATCAAAAATACCTGATTGAGTGTAGATAAACATGATATATGTTGTTTACGATCAAATTAAGATTTTTACTGATTTTGAACTTGAACCTCATGTTTCCATAGTCAAATTGATTTTAAACTGTATGTTAATTAAATGCGGAGTCGGTAAAGAAATCGGTTAATTATTGTTTTAAATTAATAATATCTATGAAACGCGATTGATTTAAATTGTGTGATTTACAGGAAAGTCCTCTCTTTATATAAAGTAATAAAATAAATAGATCTTTTTAATTTAAACGCCATATATGACTTTAATTATGATCAATTAATCTGGCAGTTTAGTTGTTTTTAAAATTTTGTTTGTAAAAAAAAACTATTTTTAATCTCTACCAATCTCTACAGTTCTGACCTATTTAATTGTTTTCAATTTATTCGTTTTAATAGATGTCAGAGATAATGAAAAAAAATTCTCAGGTAAATGTAAAAACGTATTTGTATACACTCCCCGTAAGTTGTCTTTTGTTCGCAAGTCTTCTGTCCGTCGTTCGATGTCAGGTGTCTGAGATTCCGAAAATGTTCATAGCCCTCCTAGGCACCTGATGATCCGTCTTCTGGAATCTCGGGGGGGGGGGGGTTATACCTTGTTTAAAGATTTGTTTTGTTTTTAGATTTTTTTTTTTGAATAAATCAATGTTCGCGATCGTTATTTAGTCTTTTTCATTGCTTTTATACTAAATTTTACTTTGTGTGTTACCACGTCTATCTGATCAATACACTGGGCTCACGGAGGATATGACCAGTTTACGACAGGGGATGCTACTCCTCCTAGACACCTTCCCAAATTGTTGCTTAAGTCCATGTTACAATGTTTTCGATATCACAATTGCTAAGCTATGATGCCCCAATCGCTTAACTATAACGTCACAGCCTATGACACTGTGTTAAGAAAAGACAGAGGCAAACGGAAATCAAAGAAAATGTAATAAACAGAAAAATCAATTTTTTGTAGTTGGATATGGAATTTATTTTACTTGTGAAACAGGATTTTTTGATATTTTCGCTCGTGCTTCGCACTCTTTAAAATATATAAAAAAAATCCTGTCCCATTCGTGAAATAAATTCCATATCCAACTACAAAACAAACATTGAATATCCTCTATTTATCCAACTTTAATATAAAAACAAAGGGTTTCTGGATTGGAAAAGCACTAACTGTGCTCAATGGGTATCTCCTGCAAATAAATATATCTGGCCCTGCGCTCCACAGATACTGCTGCTACCTAGCACTCCTCCCCTCCCAACCTTTGTGGTATGTCACCTCTCTTCTTATTAACCAATTGCCTTATACAGGTCTTGCGTGTAAGCTAATAATGTAACTTGAACTGACTATCCATCGCGACTGTATACCTTATTAAAGTCTTATCACCATATTTAAGTGGATAAACAGCCAAGGTTTAATAATTCCGTCACCAGAGATGTTCCTGCCCTCACTATAATGCCGTGCAGTTCTAGTATCTTGGCAGTTTCGATCTTCTTAAATGATCGTAGAATTAATGATTTTTAGTGTTTAAGAAATTCAATAAAATCTATGTCCAACGTTTTATACGAAACTTAATGATAAAACCAAATTCCGTTTCACACGGTGTTTGTGTATGACCTACGGACATTAAAATAAACTCCCTGTAACTCTGTTCAAGTGAAGAATTGATATGTAACATATCGATCATTCGGTCGTTGTTATCGTATATTTTATAAATGTTTTTACCACTT